ACACAGACTGGCACACACCATGAATAATAGACCAACACGAACAGACGAGCTGACCAGAAGCAGACACACACACACGAATATACTGCAAAGACAAACGACAAAGATCCCCCGTGTAGCCTTAACAGACTGTTGGGGACAAGTGCTGTGAGCGAGCACCTATGAAGGCGGGCGCAGCACACTAGGGGATGGGTGGCCAGCACCACGCCCGACCGCCTTTGTCTCCGCATTGGCGATGTCTTTACACACCGCAGCATGTAGTCGTATTGAGGCTGAGTCGACCTAGGGAAGGTCCAAACTCGGGTGGCCAGTCTCGTAGCGCAGCGTGCTAACCACTACACTGCCGCTCCTCCCCTACGAAACTCCACAAACACTCGCACACAAAACAGACACACACACACGAGCCAGACAAAGACACATATGTATGTAGCGCAAACACGCACACGCAACACTCGACAGTGTAGCGTCAGGATTTGCATTCGAACGCACACAAACTGCCCGTGGTTTTGTACAGTCATGCGAGTGAACGTGGACATTTGCTTGCAAAATTAGTGCACACTCGAAACTAAAATCCCCCGCCCCAAAAAATTTCCACCGTTACGTTATTTGAACCTCTTATTCATTTCAGCAATATATATAAATCATTCGACGCGGCCTACGTGCAATATCGCCCCAATGCTTATATACACGAGCTGGTGTGCGTATAGTGTGTGTGTGTTGATTTGTTTTTAACTTACAAATCTGAATTCTCCCCGTCGCTTCGACGAATGAGTGTTCAGCGATTGTTGGTTTTCAATTCTGGGTTTAAGTACTGATATTTTTAACGGCCAACATTTTTTTTCCAGAAAATAACGAGAAAAGAATACTCGCACGAACAATTCCCGTTACTCGCGGATAAGGTGGTTATTTTTTCGAGGACTGTAACTATTGGTTGTGTTTATGAAAGTCTATGAACCCTTTCTCATGTACATATTTTGCACGTGTGCTTTTTGAAAATAAGAAGCAGTGAATGAAGGTACATGCGCACTTATATACTGTAGACGCGTGCCATCCACAGTGAACGCATACAGAAGCGCATTGCATGTGGATGAACCAACTTTCAATGAGTGTATGTATATAGTGCCACAAGGCTCATATCGGCCACACCTTTAAGTCAACACTAGCCTCCTCCATCATTCGCGACTTTAGTTTCATCACATTTACCATTTCAGATGTTTGGAATCACTCCTCGATTTTATAAATACATATTTAAAAAATAACATTCACTTCAGCGTTTTCAATACACCCACGGATCAAGACCTAACCGCGTGGCTGTTATTGGCCATAGACCAACCATGTGGGTTCAGTGGAGTACGTGGGGGACGAGCGGGAGATGACATGACCTGTTCTGTTTAACACGTAGCAGGCTTTCGCGACCAATGTTATTCATAATCAACGTTTTTGGGTCAGATCGCGTTATTTATAAATGTGTCGTAACCCTCCACCACCCGACACGGCCAATCAGTAAAAAAGTGTCACGTTGACAAAAGACAAATAGTTCACTGCTTTAGCCCACCGGTGTGTTGAAGCCACAACATTTACTCAAATTTTACTCAAATTGTAAATGTTGTGGCTTCAACACACCGGTGGGCTAAAGCAGTGAACTATTTGTCTTTTGTCAACGTGACACTTTTTTACTGATTGGCCGTGTCGGGTGGTGGAGGGTTACGACACATTTATAAATAACGCGATCTAAACCCAAAAACGTTGATTATGAATGACCTGTTCTGACATCACTCGCCACTGACGTTGGCCGGGAACCGACTCACGGGGTCTCCGGCTGCATAAAGATATTTCACGCGAACCGCTGCGCCACCGCTTAAATCCAACTAAAAAGGCGCACATTCAACTGAAACGCGATCGTCAATAACACGGTGCGTGTCCTGAAAAGGAAAACACAGAATAGGCGACGTTTCGGTCAACGCCTCTTGTTCATCGCGAATGACCCTTCCTTCATCCGTATCCAAACGATGGCTCCATTTATCTGTGCGCACTTTTATAGCGTCGACATTTAATTTTCATGATCATCATCGTCATCATCAGCTGTGTCCTGTCCACTGCTGGATGTAGGGCCTCCTTTAGCCCTCGCCGCCCCTCAAGGACTCGCGTTGCCACAACCCATGTCGCGTCTGCATGCGAGCCCACGCACATCAACGCTCGCCATTCTGCGCTCTCCATTCTCCGCGACGTCTGTCCCCTCGGGCGTGCTCCCCAGAGGTGGGACAAAGTCATTGTTATGCAAGTCCAAGTCGAGTCTGAAGTCATCAAATGCATGACTCGAGTCTGACTCGAGTCCAAGTCACATGACTCGAGTCCACACCTCAGAGGTGGGACAAAGGCATTGTTATGCAAGTCCAAGTCGAGTCTGAAGTCATCAAATTCATGACTCGAGTCTGACTCGAGTCCAAGTCACATGACTCGAGTCCACACCTCAGAGGTGGGACAAAGTCATTGTTATGCAAGTCCAAGTCGAGTCTGAAGTCATCAAATTCATGACTCGAGTCTGACTCGAGTCCAAGTCACATGACTCGAGTTCACACCTCAGAGGTGGGACAAAGTCATTGTTATGCAAGTCCAAGTCGAGTCTGAAGTCATCAAATTCATGACTCGAGTCTGACTCGAGTCCAAGTCACATGACTCGAGTCCACACCTCTGGTGCTCCCTCCGTCATCACGTCTCCCACGGCTCAGCTCGTCGCCACCCCTCGCAGCAACGCGTCCTGCCCTCGGGACACTGGGCTCAACTGTGACGCCGTCGCCTTATTGGCGCACGCTGCGTGATTGACCCACGTGCGTACGTCTATATTCTTGGACGGTTTTTTTATGCAAGCAGACTTTTGTGTTGTTGTTGTTGTTGTTAAACTTTATAAGTCAATGTCCACGTCTCTGATACGTAGCAGGAGGTGACACGCTCCGCATTCATCAAAGTCGCATACGCACAAACCATGGCTGCAGATGCACAAATGGAAAATGAAAAAATCTCCGGTAGTGTGCGACTGGTGTCACCCAGAACAGACCGTAACAACATATAGCGACGCAATGCACGATCCACAAATACGACGGAGACATCAAGCGAAACACCCCACTGCTCCATGATTTTATCTGACTGTGTAGTTATTGCTCTGCATGTACATCAACCCGTACTGAAAGAAAGAGACAATCATTATTATTATTTTCGTTTCAATACTGCGAAGAGCAGCCGCATTCTGGTAAGGGTTACACATTCCATCCCTATATGCCCTAATAACTTTCCTTCCCACATGTACCGTGACCGTACATCTGAGCGGAGTCAATGTTCTATCCACGTATTTACGCAGGTTCCTCCAACCTATACGAACCCACACTGATTTACACGCTTCCCGCAAGAGTTCCTTATATTGGCGGCGCGATCTCACTTCAAAGCCACCACCGCAGCCAACCTGCATTCCTTGCCCGCCGATTGCCGTTCCCCTGTTTACCAATCAACAGGCGCGTGCGGTGCCATCAGTCACTTTGCTCATCTCGTTGGGTCACGGCACTCCCGAGTGGGTGTTTCCCTCGAACGAGCGGGTGTTCTCCTGACACTCGAGGTTACTTAAACACAGTATACTATTATGCTGGATATGCTTTCAAAACGCTCCTCTATATGGGCTCTTTCTTTTTGTGTTGTGCGTGTGGAGCGGTGGCGCTGTCGTCCGTGCGCTGCACCTTGACACTCGCGCTGACTTAGATTCCCGGACACGGTCACAACCGTGCCTCGGTCGACACAGCATTTTAAATGAGTACTCGTTGCGGCGTATACACATTATAGTGCTGGGGATACAAAGGCGGTCGGGAGTGGTGCATAGCCACACCGCCTCCACGTGCACCGTGGCCGGTGTCAAAAGGTGCTTCACAAAAAAAACAACTAAGATCACTTCGCAAGCAATTGGAGCCGATTTTGCTCATTTTCACCTTTCCGTCCTGCAGACTGTGGTCCAGTCGCGTAACGAACATTTGGTCGCACTGGCCTCTCTCTCTCTCGCAGCCGGCAGTGCAACACCTTGTGGTGCCAGAGAACAGGCCCGGGAAATGACACCAACACTTCCGATGGGGCTTCATTACGCCTCCTTGCCCCCCCCCCCCGCCCGTCGCCGAAGATGACGAGATATTCACGACCTCGCTTGGTATGCAAGGAGGTCGTGGGTTCGGTCCCGACCGTGACGCCTGTATATTTGGAGTTTGCATGTCTCTCTCTCTCTCCCTCCCCCTCTGGTCGCGTGGATTTTTCTCCGGGTCCTCCGGTTTTTCCCTCCATATTTAAAATCAACATCACACGTTTAAAAGAGTATATTTGGCTGCTATGCATTCCCACGTGATAAGCCACTTCGTTGAGCTATCATTTGTGGGCAGGTCGCTTCAGCAATCGAGCCATGCAGCTCAGTGCCGCCTTTTTCTGGTCAATTAAAACAAATCATCGTATACCATTTACGCCAATCAAACTTGACACGCAATTCTCAAATATGCAATGGGAGGTTATAGGGGAGCGGGTTTCGCCTGATTATGTTGCCCGGGCTGAAACCGTGCGCTCCCCGCTCTTGACAACCTCGATGTCATCATCAAGGTTGTGCGGCCGAAACCCGGACACGAGCCCATGGATCTCTGCGGTGCCGACTCAAATGTCGTCTGACACGGCCAAATGCGAACCGGGCCTCCATCTCCCGGGGCCTCTTACCCCTCCCTACAGGGTTATAGGGGTAAGGGGCCACCGCAAAAGACGGACACGGGCGACAGCGGTGCTCTTATCGGGGTCTCTCCGGCTCTTCCTCGCTGTCAATCACTGCCTTACCCCCCCCCCCCCCTGTGCCTGACCACGTCATACGGGTTGGTTGACGCAATGCACCTAGTGTCACGCGCATTGTCGCCGGTTATCTCACCCACAAAGGCCAAGACCCCCTCCCTTCCTCCTATAGCCCGTGTAGCCGTCTCAAGACCGTTGGGGCAAGTGCTGTTTGCGGAACACGATGGGGTGGGTGGCCAACACTACGCCCGACCGCCTTTGTCTTCCTCGCGGCGATGTTTACACACCGCACCAGGTACTCATTTGAGACGGGAGGCACCGAGAACAGGTTCGGATTAATCGTCAGTGGTGTTGGCCGTGAGCGGGGAATTGAACTTGGGTTTCGGCTGGTTCGTAGCGCGGGGCGTTAACCGCTAACGCTACCGCTCCCCACACACGCACACACACACACATTATTGTGCTGTACTCCTCTGGCCCCACATAAACCCCAAGACCCGCACGCCTTCACCCACCCGCACTGACCAACGTGGCGAAGTATGGTCTAATAACCACCATCCGGACCCGAGGCCAGCAACGGCTGGCGTGTGGAGGCGGTCATCGAGTCAGTCATCCAGCAGTGGATTGCACACGTGACACGCGTGACACACGTGACACACGCTCCACACGTTACACACATGACACACGTGACACACGCTACACACGTGGCACGCGCTATACGCACTCACTCGCACGCGCGCGCGCGCGCACCTATCGCACAATGGAAAGTACAAAAAAAATGGAATACGCAGTTTGCTGGGACCGTCACATATTTCCTAGAAGGCTGATCGGCTTCCCCTCGCCTCTCGGGCCTCGGGTTTACCAGAAGTGTCACCACCACCACCACCGGTCGTGCCAAGGGATCGGAGCCCCCACACGCAGCCGAGGGAGGGGGGTAGCCGGGGAAGGAGGTGGTGGTGGTGGGCACGTTGAGGGAGGGAGAGGCGCGCAGAACGTTCCACTCGCGGGTGGTGGAGGGAACCACGAGAATAGCGCCACTCGTCGATCGCTATCTGCCTGCCAAGCGCTGCCGACTAGCCTGGCTCAGAGTTCATTCACACACGTACACACGTCTATGTATATACATACACACGTGTGTATATATACACACACGCGCGTGTGTATATATACACACGCGCGCGCGTGCGCACGCAAGCGAGCAGCCTCCTCTGGAGTTGGGGAGCGACTGTTACGTTCATAGGCGCTCTGCTATACTTGCTGTCGCTGCTGTGCCCGACCAGCAAGACATTGTTGGATGTGCACGCTGGGATCGGGTCTAACTGCGCTGGAACTCAACACTTGCCAGATAACCGCCGCATTGAATTGGATTGACATTGCATGGGTAAAGTGCCCGGTTTAATTAAGTGAAAAGTAGCAATACTTGTTGTTTGATATAACCGCCGCTGAGATTATTCGTCGCTGAGAAGATTCGACGTTTCGGGCGACTGACCTTCTGCGACAATTCCACGCGCCGGACATGATCTGGTGAGGTGAGCGCCATCATTTACTTTCATCACTGTGATTCACACTTCCGTCCTGCGAGATGAAACGTCTAGTTCATCATCGTCATCATCATCAGCAGCAGCCATGTACCCAATAGAGTCAATAACTGTGCTCTGCTCTCCTTCGACGGAGGAGGAATAGCAACACGGCACGAACTCTTTCTCTCTGCTGAAGCCCTCTCGTCGTGGCGAGCTGCAAACCTCGACATTGGGCATTTAGCTCCTGAACCAGCTTACTGTACTGCCATGAGGTGGCGAGATGTTAACCACCTCCCCTGGTGTACAGGAGGCCGCGTGTTCGATCCCGACCCTGACGCCTGCTGCTGTGTATTTGGAGTTTGCGTGTCCCTCCGCATTTAGGATCAACATGCGATACATTTCCACGTGATAAGCCACTTCGTCGGGCTATCATTTGTGATAGCCAGGTCGCTTCTGAAAAACAGCTATACAGCTCGGTGGGCCTTACCTGGTCAGATAAAATAGTTTGTTTTAGTAAAAAAATATAATTGCAGATAAAACCAATTGGGCCATCTCCCACGGTGCCGCCGTCTTCCCGCATGTGTTGTTCGCCCTTCTCTGGCTGCCATTCTGTCTGTAAGTCTCCACCACCATCGATCTCATGGTCCAGCGGCAATGTGTCTTGTCTCAAGCTGAACTGTGCATTTCTCAACAGTAGCGGGTTCGAATGTGAGTCTCTGTGAACCCATGTGCTCCTCTCTCTCTGTCTCTTAGAAAAAAATTTAAGATTATAATACACATACGCTCAGGGTGAGACCACGAACGCCTGCTATAATGATTACATATTTTATATATGTCAAGCAGCTACGTTTTAACAATTGTAAATGAGTACAGTGCATGTGAAGAGGATCCCCTATATCAATCCATTGCTGGACGGGGGCCCTTCCCGTGGGGTGCATGTCTCGAGGTCATTTGACCGCGTGAGGTCATCATCATTATCATCACCATCATGTACGTGCATTGTGGAAGGTAAGATGTTTGGAAACATAGAAAGCAGCACAGTACTGTAATTACATTGTTCACACGTCGCCTCTCCTCCTTCCAATGGCGTCCCGTTCACTACACCGCTGTCTTTTCAAATACCTCAAAACTTCACTACCCATATACTCAAAACTACCCAGCCTCAAAACTGCCCATAGACTCAAAACTGCCCATAAACACAAAACTGCCTGTAGACTCAACACTACCCATAGATTAAAAACTGCCCATAGACTCAACACTACCCATAGACTCAAGACTGCCCATAGACTTAAAACTTCACTCCCCTTGACTCAAAACTGCCCATAGACTCAACACTACCCATATACTCAAAACTACCCAGCCTCAAAACTGCCCAAAGACTCAAAACTGCCCATAAACTCAAAACTGGCCATAGACTCAACACTACCCATAGACTCACACTAACCGTAGACTCAAAACTGCCCATAGACTCAACACTATCCAGAGTCTCAAAACTGCCCATAGACTCACACTAACCATAGTTTCAACATTGCCAATAGACTCATACTATCCATACACTCAACACTGTCTGTCCATAGGCTCAACACTGCCCATAGGCTCAACACTGCCCATAGACTCAACACTGCCCATAGACTCAACACTGCCCATAGACTCAACACTGCCCATAGACTCAGCACTGCCCATAGACTCAACACTACCCACAGACTCAACACTGCCCATAGACTCAGCACTGCCCATAGACTCAACACTGCCCATAGACTCAACACTACCCACAGACTCAACACTGCCCATAGACTCAGCACTGCCCACAGACTCAGCACTGCCCATAGACTCAGCACTGCCCATAGACTCAGCACTGCCCATAGACTCAACACTGCCCATAGACTCAGCACTGCCCATAGACTCAACACTGCCCATAGACTCAACACTGCCCATAGACTCAACACTGCCCATAGACTCAGCACTGCCCATAGACTCAACACTACCCACAGACTCAACACTGCCCATAGGCTCAACACTGCCCACAGACTCAACACTGCCCATAGACTCAACACTGCCCATAGACTCAGCACTGCCCATAGACTCAACACTGCCCATAGGCTCAACACTGCCCACAGACTCAACACTGCACATAGGCTCAACACTGCCCATAGACTCAACACTGCCCATAGACTCAACACTACCCACAGACTCAACACTGCCCATAGACTCAACACTACCCACAGACTCAACACTGCCCATAGACTCAACACTGCCCATAGACTCAGCACTACCCACAGACTCAACACTTCCCTTGCACATTAAGCAATGCCTCCTCCTTAACTTCTTTCCGTTCCTCTCCTAAAGCCTCACCTCTTCATTACCCATTCTCTTCCTTTTCACTCCCCTCCACTCCCCTCCACTCCTTCCCGTGCCTCCCCTATAGCCCTTTTGTGATCCCTAAGTAATAATTTACGCTCTATGGCTGTCACTCTTTCTTCAATACCTTGTCGCACGCCCCGACCGACTACCTAATCCCATTCTATCATCGGTTTGTAAGCCATGTCAAGCGCCTTGAGTGAAGACGCTCTTTTTAGAAATATAAAGTAGATAATAATATTGCACGCAAAAAACATATATCGGTATTTTAATGCCACGGTCAGATCAAAATCTCAGATGTATAATTGTATAGGATTAGTATCAGTACACGGATTGTGCACAGATGAAATTTTAATTCAACTAAAAGTCTATCGTTATATTCCCCATTGCAAAGTGCTGGGCACCATCTCCCTCCCGTGCAGAGAGAATGGAGAGTGCCGTGAACCCGTGGCTCTGGGCAGGGCGGGTACAGTAGTTGTGGTTGCTCTGGGGAGCACTGCCTGATGTTTCCGTGGTCGGCACGAAAACTCGACTTTTATCACGACTCTCCGACCACGCGGTTAATGCAGTGGCTGTTGCTGCTGCTGTTGTTGCTGCTGCTGCTGTTGTTGCTGCTATTGCTGCTGTTACTGCTGCTGCTGTTGTTGTAGTACCGCCGTGACTGTTGTGCTGCAGTAACTGCTGTGCTGCGAAAGCTGTTCAATCAATCACTCAATCGATTTATCCCCGCACCTCCTATTAGCACGGTTGGCTGCGTACGGTGCGAAAGAAGTTCAACGTGCAGACATACAAGCATGAATCTTTGCGTGTCAGGATCGCCCTCAATGAAGTAGGCGCTCGTGCACATGACAGCCGATTCATGTTGTGCTGCACTGACTGTTGTACTGTGAAACTTGTTGTACTGCAGTGACTAATTATGTAATGCCTGTTGTACTGTGGTCATGTAGCCCACATGCCCAACCACCGTATGCCCAAATTAGCTTTTGTTTGGCCACATAGAGGGGGCTAAACGGGCACGACACGGGCTGGAGAAGAAATGGAGCTGATGTGATAGGGGAGGACGTGGAGCTGAGTGGACTTGCCGATGACTGATACCAACGGTGTCAAGATCGGCCTCTGTGGAGGAGGTTCGTGAAAGACGCTACTGGGCAGTGAGAGGCAGTCGCCCACCAACAATAACGGAGGGCAGAGGAGCGAGGCTCACAACAACGAGCGGAGCGCCGGGTGGCTAAAATACAGAAAGTTGGCACGGAAGGGGGTACAGCTGGTGCATCTACCGGTCGTCTCAGTCAGCCAACCCATGGCACCTGGGTCTGTCCCGTGACCTTCTGCACCTAGCCTGGCACAGTAGGGGGTTACAGCTGGGTGCATTTATCGGTCATCTCAGTCAGCCAACCCATGGCGCCTGGGTCGTCTCGTGACCTCCTGTCAGTGAGCTTTCGACACTTCGCGTTGCCTCAAAGTGCACCTAGCCTGGCACAGGCGCCGTGGTGACGTCACCGTCACTTCGTGGCGAATGGCCGTTGTATTGGGTGTGCAGTACTGCGGTGACGAATGCACTGTGGTAGCAGTTGCACCGCAGTGACCACCGGCTCATCTGCATGCCCCTACATAATATGTAGACAGTGCCTCTATCCCCATACCCCGTCTCAATCGAATCACCTTAAAGGCTCGTCAACATTGGCTCGGATGGCTACTGCCTCCCCTTCACTTCACACTTACAAATGAATCACCCACACGAGCGTGATTTAAATACAGTACAATATATATATAAACCATGGAACAAGAGCCGGCCGCGGTGGCGAGATGTTAACTACCTCGCCTGGTATGCAGGAGGTCGTGGGTTCGATCTCGACCCACATTTACAATCAACGTGTGCTTAAGAGCATTTGGTTGCCATAAATGTCCACGTGATGGGCCACTTTGTTGAGCTATTATTTGTGGCCAGGTCGCTTCTGAAAATGAACTATATAGCTCAGTGGGCCATACCTGGTGAAACATAAAATTTAGTTTAATAAACCGGGGGCTTGGGGAGGCTTTCGTGCAGTGATGGATAGAGCATGTCTGCTACTAATATATTATTATTATTAAGCAAGTGCAGCTGTGTAAACTACGTGGACATCGTGAGTGTGCGATTGGTGACCTTTGTGAGCCCGTTGCGGGTTGAGCGGTGGCGCAAAGGTTAGCACACTGCATTCCGAACCCGGCGACCCGGGTTCCATTCCCGGCCAGGGCGCAGCGACTACGTCTGAAACAGCCGTGGCTGAGCCTCTCTGGCCCTGCACCAACCCGCGCTGACCGACGTGGTGAAGTATGGCGATCCGCACCCACAACCGATGACAGCGTGGGGAGCCCTTCATCCAGCAGTGGATTGATTAAGGGCTGAATCAAGAGCGCACTGAGGCGGGAATTCTCGTTTTCAAGTTCATTTGTTGTTATTCTATTCCGAGAGTCGCAATTTGTCAAAGTCATGCCAACGCCGAGTACACGTGGTGCATGAAATAAACATTGGCCAGCCACGCCGACACGTGTGCCACTTGCGGACACATTCATAAGGGGAGCGGTGGTGTCGTTGTTCGCGCACTACGCTGCGAAAATTCTCTGAAACGGTCCTGGGTCTTCCCGAGGTCGACTCAGCCGTAGTTGCGTATTCAGTGTGGCGTGTACACGCCAGCAGTGGGGGAGACAAAGGCGGTCGGGCGTGTTACCGGCCACCCACCCCGTCGTGTGACGCGTGATCGTTCGTAGGTGCTCGATTACAGCACTTGCTGTGGTTGGAGGAGGGTGGATTATTTGTGTTTTTATTTTTTAATTCGATGAGCTATTAAGATATTTTTCACAGATATTCCAGTTGGGGCGGGTCATTCCAGCAGTTCAGTTGCTCAGTTCAGAGTTGGATTTGTTTTGGAGAAACCCCGATGAGCTATGAAGCTAATTTTCACAGTGGACGCGTGTTTAAATGCTGGTGGTGGCTTCAGCTCGCTCGCCTCCATGGCACATTGGCAGCGCTATGAACCGGGGCTTCATTTCGTCCTCGTTATTTTTGGGGAACGCTGCTGAGGCCGGCATAGAATCTGTATGACTGTCGCTACCACGAAAGCACAAGGCACCCCAATCCAGTCGTTCATAATAACCCTCCTCGGCTATCATCCAACACTGGGGATGGCTCACGCATAATGTGGATCATACACACAGTGGAGCCGCGCTACAAAGGGAATGGAATTCGGAGTGAGGCCCCCCACCCTAAATGCACATTTGATTAGGTCTTCCGGACGAGTCACCCTTGAGCAAAGAAACCCCCAAATATCTCCTTAGCTCAATTGGCTATACTCGGGGAAAGACACTTCTGAACTGCTGAACATCTTCGCTATGAAATACGGGTTGGCTTACGTACGGTGCGAAAGAAGTTCAGCATACATACTGTATAACATATCATTTCGACACGAAGCCTCGGCCCTCCTCCCACGATGGTTCCGGCAAGGTCCCATGATCTGCCACATTTTTTAATGTTGCCAGCCGAGCGCTTGCGAGCGCGCGCTAAGCGAACGCCGCATTCGGCGTGCCAACGTCCGAGCCGCATTTCACGTCCGCGTGCCATCGCAGATCGCGTCCACCTCAAGGATCGCCGCGGAGGTATGCAGACCCCGATTCTCCTCCCGAGCGAGCGACAAGAACGCACCTGGGCACCTCACCCGCCGGCCGGAGCTGCCCGTCACGCGCACACAACATGGCTTCGGGTCTGCCGACCCATCACTCGGCGTCATCGGAGCCCGCGGGCTATCAACACCGAGAGGACGACGACGGCGGCGGTGGCGGACCCCTGCCCTACCACACTGCGCCGGGAGCTCAGTCGTGCGTCGTCGCGTCGGAGGACCAGGGCCACTGCTACTGGCAGGACCTGCTGTGTCTCGCCGAGGGTCAGGTGAAAAAGGGTTTACGCGAGCGCTGCGCGCACCACGCCAGCACGAGACACCCGCTGGCCTCAACACGAGCCGAATGGCTCACAGGCTCACAGGGCTATACCGAATAAATGAAACTGGGAAAAACTGAAACTCACTCGCACGGCAGGGAGGGGTATTTCCTCTCTGGATTAGATACACGTGTACCGTCTGTTCTCCTCTCACGCGGCGGTGATTGCGTTCGAGAAGAACGCCGCGTTATGGAAAAATCGCGTTATACTAAAACACATTCCTGCGGAGGGAGCTGGTAGGAACGTTGGGTTGCTCGGTCAATGGCCAGGGTCAACGGCGGCGTGGTGTATTCCGCTAAAATGCCCGACTGTGAGGGCGGGCACAAGCCGGCGTGAGTAGGTTTAACGTTGAGTTTTATAAGGGCACCACGGGGTGACCAGAACCTCCCCACCCAGCCCCTCCCCAACCCACCCTCCCCACCCAGCCCCTCCCCACCCAGCCCCTCCCCACCCAGCCCCTCCCCACCCAGCCCCTCCCCACCCAGCCCCTCCCCACCCAGCCCCACCCTCTCCTCTCCACCCAGCCCCACCCATTTTTTGGATGCACGACGGACGGACGGACACAATAATCCCTTGTGGGCTGGTGTAACCAGGAGGTTCCTACCAATATAATGTATTGCATAAGGTAAAGCACAGCCAGAGATGCCACGTGAGATGCGTACGTAGACTGGGCGAAGACTGCGGCACTTGAGTAGCATCTAGGAGTATCCAGCAGCCTCCCCGCCTTGCGTGGTGCTACGCAGAGGCAACCGTACGACCGCTTATTCCTGTTCGCTCAATCGCGTTATATCCAACAAATTCTAACTGCATTTTCAGAGAAATTTAGTGAAATTTGATGCTAAACTTCGTTCGCATCGTACGTAGCCAACCGTGCGAATCGGAGGTGCGGAGAAGAAGCGTCGATCCGAAGCTTCGCAGAGCGGTTTTCCACTCCACGTTTGGGAATTGCCTCTGGAAGTTAACTTCACAGAACTAGATTCCGAGGTCCCTTTAATTGCTTCGTACCCACACGAGGTGGCAACCACCGTCTCTTCTGCCCTGCCGTGGAGGTGTTTGTGACATAGCAGTCAAATAATTGATTCAGGCCTCAAGAGATATCACCAAATTACGTAAAATATAAAATTACAAAAGGCTGCTACGCAATGTGTCTTTTTTGGGTTGCAGTTATTGGTGACAAGGCTGAGACCTACAACCCACAATACTTGGGATTATTAGTTTAGTTGTTTGTACTTTCTTGTTTTGGTGCCATTTCTTAATTTGTTTAATCATTTTTTGTTATTTAGCTTGGCAGTGGGGTTTTCACTTGCTTGGTGTATGTATGCGTGTGTTTGTTGGACTTTTTTCGCTCCGTGCGAAGCCAACCGCTTATATTTAATATTGGTTCTTTTATACATATATATAATTAATGTACAACTTTGTGGGATGCTGTTACTATGAACGCTGCTATATTATTATCCAAGAGAGCGTTGCAAGGAGAAGCAAGCCATGAACCCCTCAAACGCGTTGTCTCCGACAGGCAGCGATGGGAGGCGCCTCCTTTGACGAGAGCCATTATCTGAAGAGCTCCTACACGGTGGCCGAAGAAGACTGCTTCCACGTGTCCCCCCTGTGCCTGCCCCACGACTTCCCCAACCACGCGCACTCCGGCAACAATCCCAACCCGGCCTTCGGGAACGCCGAACACACCAGCCGCGTCAGCGCGGCACTGCCCGGCACGTTTTGCCCGGAGCCTCAGGCGTACGGCCACAGGACAGTCCATCACGCCCCACCTCCCAGCTGCTATGCGTCGAGCCAGATGTTCGCTTTGAGCTCACACCAGCCCGAAAGCTCCCCGGAGGTCGACGGCCACTATGTCGCGCCAGCCTCGGGGGGACACTGGGAGTTCGGCGTGACGACGGACGGCCTGGACCGCTCGCACGGGACCCTCGAGCCCGATCAAGGAGCCGCCTTTCCCACGGCCCAGCGACACGAGGTCGCCGCTTCGACGAGCGGCGACTCGAGGTTCTCATCCGCGTGCCTCCCAGGTGCCTCCCACTCGGTGGGGCCGTGGGGCGACTGCGCCGCCGCGTTGCGCAGAAGCGACGATGATGGCATCGCCGCCGGCACCACCACGACAGCCACCACCTCCTCGTCCTCCTCATCGCCGAGGCTCAGCAAAGACGAGCGCAAGGCGAGGTCCATGAAGATCCCGATGTCCGTGTCGGACATCGTGGCGCTGCCGGCCACCGAACTGGCCGAGCGGCGTTCGCGGCTGGCGCTGAGCGAGGCGCAGATGAGCCTCGTGCGCGACATCAGGCGGCGCGGCAAGAACAAGGCGGCGGCGCACAACTGCCGGCAGCGCAAACTCCAGGGCCTCGCGGGCCTCGAGGGCGAGCTGGGGCGGTTGGGGGCCCAGCGAGAGCAGCTGCTGCGCGAGCGCTGGGAGCTGGAGGGGGCCCTGAGGGCCACGCGCGTGCAGCTCCACGACCTGCTGCACGGCGGACACGTGGCGCCTGGCGGGCGCGGGGTAGGTGGACATTTGGCGGGTGGCGTGTTCGCCCCGAACGCGAGCGGTGGTCTCCCCCTCGAGCTGCCCCATTTTTCGCACGCGACTTGAGAGGGGTGCGCGCGTGTCAGAATACATTTGGGTTTTTTTTTTGCTTTACGGCCACGATTGTTTCAGCCAAAATTGTTTACTAGATCCTACACGCACTCACCCACCCTTTTACTCACCTGTGCCCCCCTCTGATGTGGCAGCAACCGCCACCTAAATATTACCTTGATGTTCAGCCAAACAGGAGAGCACGTCTTCACGACGGGCTCCGTACATCTTGATTTCCTATTTTCTACATTTGCACTCTTTAACGCAACCGCTGTCGTTACAAGCCCGGGAAACCCAAAAAAGTCCTTCGGATCGGGCCAACCGCATTTTCTTCCCCATTTCATCCACATCAGTATTGTAATTTCCACCACCCACCAAAAATGTTTCTCAGTTAATATATATATTTTAAAAAATCCCTTATATTTTCTCCAACCCCACTTCCCAAAAAAAACCCTTTCCAAAAATGCCCACCTCCAAATCCAGTGCATTCCATTTGACGCGTTGCAAATCCTACTTGTATTACACACGTTCGGAGTAAAGCAGGAAAATGGGAAGACATTGCTTCCCTGTCGTGAATGTGTGCAAGTTGTTGTCAAGCCATTACATGTTTAACCTATGGATGTTTACAATGTCACAGTCCCAATATTTCAACCGGTGTTCAATAAGTGGAATAAATTGTTACTTCCTTTCATTTCGGTTTAAAGGGCACAGACAAGCAATGAGCGTCACTCATCTTCCATGCGTGGAGTCGAACCAGTAGTTGGAACTCCACTTGCCTTTGGAATTGAGTAGTCTCGTCATCGTACCGTAAGTGCCGATTTTCCATAAAAAAATATGTAAATTGTATCGAACGCCAAAATAGACCCCATGCAGGGATTCCGATTGTAAAGTCCACGCGGCTGGTTCGGAATCTCACAATGTGTCTCCCGAATGAAACCAAACGTCGGTTGTATAACCAGCCTTCGTGACAACCGAGCTCAATAATAAATCTGTGCATCAAAATCTGATGCCCCGCTCACCCCACCAACAGAAAACGATTGCATAGTTAAAGTCAAAGATAATCGTCGAGAATTCAATGATCAAATACATTAATCTACTTCTAGTTGTTTGATCTCACCAACCAAAATGTAATTTCATTGTATTGATGGAATAAAATGCTACTTTATCAAGTTCGTAAACGACGTTCAGCAAAAGTGAAAACGCGACGAGTGTTAAAACGATCTTTATTGCAGTAAAATGTACACTGCATACACGTGAAAATCGTAAGCCACAGTAAAACACACTTCCGTCGCATTCAAAACCCAACGCATTGAATTTCTACGACCGACACCGTTTGCTTGTGCAAAGCTGTTGCGCAACGTCTGAGAAATTGGTGACTCACGAACGCGTATTTCTGCTTTCTGAATTAAAGCATGACAAAGTGTTTCCACGCACTTTTGGCAAGCCGAACCGATCCCACGAGGACTTCAAAAGACTACATCTAAATGTTAATGGAAAGTGCAGTCGAATAACATCCACTAGGCAAACGCGTACCTTTATTGAATACAAACTTCAGACGCATTATCTGACATACACTGCAGCACACTAATGGATATGTTAACATCAAATACCGCTTGAACAGCATGCACACGATCGTTGAACTTTTCAAACATGCGGTGGCTTCTCTTGTATTTTATTTTTCGTTTACCGTGAAGATTGTGGTCACAGGACGTTGCAGAACTTGCGTAGAAATCATGATTTTTTTCCACCTACCAGCCGACCCACCACCTAATTAAAGTGCAAGTTTACGCTGATGATTCCAGATCCATTTTCCCGAAAAAGCGAGACATGTGGGAGCACTTCTTCCGTGCCATACGTAGCCAACCGTGCTAATCGGAGGTTTAAGAAAACGAGCTGGTTTAAAAAAAAAAAACCCGGATAATTTAAACCGAATATGTAAGTGTCAACACCAAATGGAACCCTTGGCTTTTGTAGAATGAAATAGCATTCCATTCAGTGGACACCGATGCAGTCATCCACACCATCACAAAGCAATTGCTAAATAAAACTAAATATATAGATGACAATTTATGAATGTGAAACACCTCCAGGGAGATATCCATGCAGAAGCATACTACAAATTAAAAGTCAGGCAAGGGAACATGCTCTCAACAAGGATAGTAACAGCAACAATAAAAAGGAAATTGTTCTAAAAATGTTAAAGAATAAACATGGACACATTATTTGTATCTACATAAAAAATCAAGCCAAACTAAAATCAAAACAAAGATGGAGTTTCAGTAAAATTGAATGACAGTGAAAAACGTACCAAAGCGACCAAGTTATTTTCAACCAGTCCATATTACCTTTCCATGACTTGGATCGGAGACATGGACTAGCAAACAAGAGATTACTTAAAAAGTACACGAATTAAGAGATGCATGTTTATAAACACACCGTGAGAGAACATCGTATGGATGAGAGAACACATGCAACTTACACGAGATCTCGTTGTGTAAACTATTTTATTTCAGCAGCTAAGGCCCACTGAGGTGCATAGTTCTTTTTCGGAAGTGACCTGGCCACAAATGATAGTTCAACCAAGTGACTTCCCATGCAGAAATGAAGAGCAGCCAACTACTCTAAATGAATGTTTCCAAAAACCGGAGGATCCGGCGAAAAATCCAAAATACAGGCCTGTCAGGGTTGAGATCAAACTCATGCCCTCCTGCATACCAGGTGAGGTAGTTTACATATCGCCACCGCGGCACCCCAAAAGTCTTGGGTACACAAAAGTGGCCTTGCGTAGAGCACGTTGCGAGAAGGGATGATAGAGACTGGTAGTAACGGATCCTCAGCCACAAAGAGGAAACGCACCCAAAGCGAGGACCGTGGAGATGGGAGCGAAGAGATTAGCTCATGTGCAGCAAAGAGATTGTGGCATCACAGGACGAAGCAGTGCAGAGCTGAAGGGAATACAATCTTACTGCACATTCATATTTTTCTGAGCAAATACGTAATTTCAAACGGTTGCACCGAATTTGGATTCAGTACAGCAGTTATGTATATATGGAAAAAAATCAGACATCAAGGCCATTGGCATACCTTTAATACACGCGATGATTGTGAGTCACGATGAATTGTGCTTAAAGACTTCCAAATGTTTCTTCACAATGGCAAAAAAAGTTTTCACCTTCGAAATCCCATTTAAATGCTGCATGATGTAAATGCCTATTTACCATTATACATGTGTAGGAACCCATTACACATGCAAAGAAAATTACCAGTTGCATTCTAGCAATGTCAGCGGCAGCTAATACCAGGTACGTTACAAAATCAAGAGATTAAAATATATTAAAAGTTCGTTTGTAAGCATCGAATTATGTAAATGCGCATTTCAACTTTACATTCACTGCACAGGAAAAAAGTCTGTTCTCCTGCTCTGGAGTGACATTCATCACATGTCCCTGGGGGAGAATTGTTTTACATTCCTCAATATTGCTGTATCTTACATTTTCAACGTCTCCCTTTAATACTTAAGCAGGCCCAATGGACATGTCAGATTCTTTGTCATTAAAGTAATTTCCATCCATAACTCTAAATAGTATTGCCCAATCCCGGTTGATACTTCCAAGTTATATTCAATTGCCTCCTATCCATCCATCCTGTGCTGTATCGTTCCACCTGCTCTGTGCAGATGTTAATTTAATAACAGGTGGAAATGTTCCCTAATACTGTATTCCAGACATGGGACAATACCAAAAGTCCAATTTAATCAGAGGTGGCTATGTCAAAGCTCAAACTCAGGATTTAACCAAAGCCAGCTTTAGCTGACGAGATGGCACAGGTATTTCTCAGCCAGTGTCGTGCCGAATAGCTGCGAAATCTGGTCTGGATGGGTGAGAAAAGCTGTCAAAACGAAGTTCTAGTTATCTCACAGAATGTCGGGGGTTATTGCTTTGCAGAACAGGCCCCAATATGCCAAGCAGGTAGCAACAAACAGCACTAAGTTGTGGGCTTACCATCACAACACACTAGTGCTGTTGACGACAAATTTACATGATCTAACCGAATTTTTATCGAGCACAAGTGAAGTTGATAAGAACACAATCCACATGTGCACACACCACCTCGTGTACACCCCATTCATGAACGTTATCAACCAGAAACCTACAATTATTCGGATTGCAAAAAAATTTGCAGCAAAAAGTAACCCCCCAAAAATTAAATTGAACCCAAACTATTGTAGGGTGCAATCCACCCATTCCATGTAAAAATGGCAATTTTTTTTCTGATTTAGCACCTCTGCATCACAATTCTCAGAAGCATTTTAAAATTGTGGTTAGGAGGGCTGGAAATGGACAAATCAAACATGTAAACTTAACACACATCACGAGTCATCCCCATTCACCAGCATTTCACTTTGTCCAGAACTTTTTGGTCCAGAGGTTTTTGAGTTAGATCGCGTAAATGTCGTTAAAACCCACCACCACCCGACACAGCCAACTAGTAAGGGGGTTGTCACGTAAACAGAACGTGCCAATTCGTCACTAGTACAGCACACCGGTGGTGATGAAGCCAATTGTAATTACTGGCAAACCATTGTGCTCGCTTTGTAAATGTTGTGGCTTGGCTCTCCAACACACCGGCGTGCTGTACTAGTGACGAATTGGCACGTTGTTTACGTGACAACCCTGACTAGTTGTGTAGGGTGGTAGCGGGTTTTAACGACACATTTATACATGAGATCAAACCCAAAAACCTCTATTATGGATATTGGTCACAAAAGCCTACATGTTAGTCCATTACCTGATGCATTGTAGACACTTACCTTTTCGGTCAGAATAATATTTCTTTCTTTACACCTGCAGCAGCAATTGATAAAAAAAGTTATTAAAAACAATTCGGTCAACAAGCACAGCATAAAAACACTCGCTATTTAGAAATCAATCTTTCAACCAATTCAATAAAAAAACAATGAAATTGCATATTTGATTTGTAAACATCTAAACATGTTTGTATAAAGGTGCTCTGCAAATCTTACCTATTACCACACTGGTTGATATCTGTCCTAAACGGAGCTTCAAGCTGCTACATCAGGACACAAGCTCGGCTTGACGATCAGTCCACACGGCCTATCCCTGCGCTGGGCTGAAGGGACTGCCGCTACAAGCACACCAACTTGCTTGCTACGGTCGCAGCTGTCGTAGGGGGCCTCTGCAGCTAGTCTCCTGCGGCCTCCTCGCGCGTCCAGCTCGCTACTCTGCGTCCACAGAGCTCACTGGGTGGGGGGGGGGAGGCTGGAACGTCTAGCGAACCTGTAAGGGGGAGGAATCCCGGTAGAGTGGGGTGCTAGAAACAACATGCAGTGACATCCTTCAGGGGGGGCAGCTGCGTCGCGTTCCGTTCTCTAGGAGCAGGTGGCGGCGGCAACTACGATTCTTCTGGACGCCGATTTAACTCCAGTGGCTGCGCTGTCGAGGCGTGCGCTGTTAAGCTGTCGTCTGTGATAAAACGTGGCGTCGATGGCTCCCGCGGTCACCTAGTTGAGAAACGCTGGAGCTGGCTGTCGTAGCTACACGTTCAGTCTCGACGGGGACTCTTGGCTCTCCGCAGTGCAGAAGACATCTCCCTCTTCTAAGATCGCTTGGGCGCAACGATAAGTTGTTGAGCAAATAGCCGAGCGGTAGGTCGGTCTTGTGAAATGTAAAAACACCCAACGGACTGCGTGACTACGTTCAAGAAACCATGACGATACGAACTAAGAGCGCGCGGTTCACGGCGAATTACGCACGATTCTAGGAAATGAAAACAATCTAATCTTTAAAAGGTTTTTTGAAAAATTTATATTTCGCTGTAGTAGGTTGACAACACATTTTCCAAACAGGTCAGAGATGTGACTTATTAGTAAGGTCTTGAAGTCAATTAAAACATCATTAAAACATAATATTAAAATTCATTCATATGAAAAAAGCATTTGAGCTGACAGGTCTGTGGGTAACATCAATGATGGAAGCCATATGTTCAAAGCATTTCTTAGTGTGTTGCTAGTACTTTTATTGTTGTATGGAGGCCGACACGAAACATGATTTTTATTGGCTCGTAGAAACCAACCTGTTAAGCATACATCATCCCGTTTACGTGCACTATATCTGTAAATTACGCAGTGTTAAAGCAATCTAGACAATGGACATGTCAGTCTGTACTCAAAACTGATTCAAAAATCAAAACATGAAACTACAATGGAAAATATGAAAAAACTCGACTAGGATTTACCACTATTTTGAATACGTGGAATGCTGTGTAAATTTTCACACAAAGCGGTTTTATAGCATACACTGCAGACAAATGTTTTATAATCACCACCACCACAAAGGCACAATATTGAACTCACACATGCCACGGGCTATGGAAAGGGAGGTAAAAAGTTCTATGGAGTTGTCTGCCTGAAGGGGGACTGTCACTTTGGAGCCCACAAATCTGAGGCTGTCCTGTCACTCTTGGCTGGTCTTGGCTAATTACACTCTGGCCTGTTGAAACGTAAAAAATAGAAGACGAAACAACAGTTGTAAATCTGTTAATTGACTTCCAAAATTACTACACAAAAACATTGAAATATTGAGGGTGCTCTACACAAGTCATAAAGGCAACTGATGGTACGGACTTGTGTACTTTATAAAATAGTCCAACGCCTTTGTTAAGTTTAACGCGAAGGCTTTTTGTTCTTTGAAATGCTTTGTGCAAAAACATTATCTTGCGATGAAATGGTTAACCAACATCTTGAAAATGTCATGGTAGGAACATGAAAATACTAAAATGTAAGTTTATGTGATATGCATTACAGTAATGCATAAATAATAGCGATACATACCTTGGGATACTGAGAGCCACCATATCCACTCTTAATATCTTCCACGTCCTCCGTAGCCACCGCCACCACTGCCGCCGCCGCCACCACCACCACCGTCAGAGCCGTAGCCACCTGAATAGAGAGATCTACGTAAATATCTATGCCATATCCATTTACAAGACGATCATTTATTTTGTGCAATACACGTCAAGACCCTTGCCATTTTTGCGCACCGATCGAGTAATTTTTCTAAATAATGCACGTGGATTTTTACGCAACTTTGCCCTTAACCTTCTTTAAAACTATCTTTCCTTAGACGTAACATCCGCTGTTTAATGCAGGAATCCCGCATTTTAGTTTTTTCATCCCACTGGGATCCTCCTTCCAAAAGTAGAAAGGGGATTTAATCACAATAACAGTCAATCGACATGTAAGGCAAGTTGAATAATATTATCAGATCGTACTAATTATTAAAAAGAAACTAGTAACAAGTATTTAGCTTCATCATACCTCCATATGGACCTCCAGAGTTTCTTCCTCCATAGCTTCCACCTTTCATGGGTCCATAATTGGACTGTTGGTGGTTGTAGTTACCAAAATCATTCCCACCATAGCCCCCACCACCACCACCTCCACCACCATAGTTACCTGTTGTGCACAGTTACATTTTAGGACAAATTCTCCACATCACAAACATTTTAAGTAAAAACTAAAAATCTAAAAAATGTACAAGTGACTTGATTGAATGTTTGGCAAATTGATAATGTAAGTGTTGAAAAACTTACCACCACCATACCCTCCACCACCCCCATAGCCATCATAACCACCTCCGCCATATCCACCTCCGTGGTTGCCATAACCTCCGCCATAACTGCCGCCACGATCTCCATACCCACCGCCTGCACCACCTCCATACCCGCCACCTAGGGCGGGGGGAATAAACAGGCACCACAATTTAATACTACTCGTAAGTATTCATCCAAAATTTTCTCGCATGTCAATGATTCACCACAAGAACTCATGTCTTTTTAACACATAATCCTTTCGTGACCAATATCATCCATAATAGGTTTTTTTGGGTTAGATCGCGTAAATGTGTCGTTAAACCCGCCACCACCCAACACAATTTTGCTCCAACTCACCGCTGTGCTAGTAACGAATTGGCATGTTCCGTTTACGTGACAAATCTTACCGATTGGCTGTGTCCGGTGGTGGCGGATTTAACGACACATTTATATTTACGAGATCGAACCCAAAAAAACATATTATGAACCCATGCCTTTATCTGTATGAACCATTTCTGTCTGTAGTCCATCTCGTTTGTAAAGCCGAGTTTGTTTTGACCATTCTTTAGAGGAATTACTTTTAATTATGCAAAAACTTAATACAAAACACATTTGAAGCATTGTGGGAGTAATGACATTTAATTTGCGAATCTTAACATGAATATTTCATACCCCACATAGCATGCTTGAAGTATAAAATGTATAAGCATAAAATGTGTAACATTAATCTGGCAACTGTATTCGTAAGTGTTCCTTTTACTAAAGCAAAATGACCAAGTTAACACAAGGTTACTTAAAGATGGGTTTTGTAAATAGAAAATTGTGGAAAAACTCAACACGAACCAGCATTTATTCACCAAATTCTTAGGTTGTTAAAAAAAGCCAGTACTTACCACCATAGCTGTCGTAACCATCTGAACCCCCATATCCACCACCACCGTAGCCACCACCTTCAAGAAAAAACATAATAATTGATGTTATATTCATCAACAATCAGCGAATCATGTAAACACACAACCGTCAAAGAACTTGATAACATATTTACCTCCACGACTGCCTCCGTATCCTCCTCCCCCACCTCCATTTCTTCCGCCATAGCCACCGGAGCGGTCTCCTCTCCCTTTTGAAAACACAGGAAAGGACAAAAAGATATTTCAACCGCAGACTCAACCCTAGCCCATTCACTCTTTCCACATTTCACTTACTCCCTAAAAATACATTAAATAAATGGGTATAGAAATATCAGGATTCTTACATATGATGAATACACTTTTTTTAAAACCTTACTGTGATGCTGCAATTTCGATTTAAAGCTTTCGTGACTGCAGGGATTCATCTTGGTTCTTTCGGTAAAGTCACGTAGAAGGGAAGTAATAAAATAATAAAAATTAAACATAATAAAATAATTCTCACGACGTTACGGCTGCTTGCGTTGTGGCCGAAACGTCGTGAGAATTATTTTATTATGTTTTATTTTTATTATTTTATTACTTCCCTTCTACGTGACTCTACCGAAAGAACCAAGAAGGTGATGGGTGCAGTGAACAGGAGACCGAAAAGTCCTCACCACCTTTGTCATGAATATTGACTTAAAACCAGGGAAGAATATGGTAGGCTACTGTAAACATTCATTAAATATAACCAAAAGTGAACGCGTTGCAGAAGAAGCATGCGTCTGAAAAGTATTTATTTGAAATTAAATATCAGCGCCATCGGGGGTTGTAAACATAAAATTAATAATCTGTATCTAAATGTAATTTTAAGAACAGTATTTGAGGTAGGGGACTTCCTGCATTGTGCTGATATGACAGCTCAAGTGTTACTTACCACCTTGTCTTGGGTCTCCTCCCAAAGAGTTCATCTCTTGCTTGGAGAGAGCCTTCCGCACTTCAGCCTTGTGCCCATTGATGGTATGGTACTTCTGAACTAAAATAGAACGAGGATACAGAAAATACAACTTATAAATCCACCCCCATGAATAAAAAAAAAACACACAAGCAATGCGAGTTTGTTGGAAAGTGTCAAGAGTGCAAAACACTTAGAAAGCAAGTTTTGTCATAATACTCAAAATATAGCTCGCAAAGCCAAGTTTGCTTACAGCTTTAAACTACTGCAGAGCATTGCCGGTGTACCAAGCTCGACTTACCAACCACTTTGTCAACGGCGTCGTGGTCAGAGAACGTGACAAAGCCAAAACCTCTCTTCTTGCCAGACTGGCGGTCCTCCATGACATCCACAGACTCCACCATGCCATATTCTGAAAAGTAATCTCGCAAATGGTCTTCATCCGTGTTGTCCTTGATGCCACCCACAAAGATCTTCTTCACCTTCAGATGGGCACCAGGCTTGAGAGAGTCCTGTGAAAGGCATACGAAACAGGTTACACCAGCTACCAATGATGCACAACATTTACAGAGATTAAAATAGAACATACAATTCAAATCCCCATTTTACAAAGCACTTTAAAAACACGTTCAGCATGCACAAATATAAAATGGAACTGGCAAAAACACAACTTAATATTGCTTTGCATTATGGAAAATAAATGGCACCACAAAACTGCCATCAACACTCAGGTTGTTCTTGAATGTGCTCGCACAACATACATTTATTTTAACAATGGTGTAATGCAAATGCTCTCAAAAGGTGGTTCATGGACAATAGGGGGTTTAAAGGCATTATGAGAACGCGTAGAAATGTCATCCCCTATTAAACTACTGCAAACTATGTCAGTGACACGTAGCACTTTCGCAATATCCTTGTACTCTAAGGTTGAGGCGAAAAATAAATGTCCTCGTAAATTGATTTGATTAAAAAGCCTGCAGAAGGATAAAGGGTTTAACAGGATTAAGGGTTTAGAGGAGGCCACAATAACTGTTGAAGCTGACAATCCCCAGCGCGATTTCAAAGACGGCGAGAGGGGGTACCCACCTCGCGCGAGATGGCACGCTTCGCTTCCACCACGCGGCCGTCCAGATGGTGAGGGCGAACCTCCATTGCAGCGTCCACCTCCTCGGCCGACATGTACGTCACAAAGCCAAAGCCTCGCGAGCGCTTTGTGTGGGGGTCTCTCATCACCTGTCAAGCAGAGAACAAGAATCAAGTCAAGAATACTTAAAAAGAGGCAATGTGTAGCAGTACCACGATCCACCCACAATCTGTGACCAACAATTACCCGGATTTAACCCTGTAATATACGAGACAGAGTACTACCGCCATCTATTGGCAGAAGTCATATATGTGTGTATGAAGCCTAAGGGATTTTTTATTTGCAATCAGCCATAACGAAAACTGTTGTATACTTATGTTAGCGTTTGTTTCGGACTTGTCCCAAGATCCACAATAATTTGCGATCCCCATATTGGCAACCGATAGCAAGCCACCAAGCGAGACCCCATCCTTTCCCCAAGTCACAAAAGGATCGGTTGATAAGATGCAGCCAAAAGGGCTTCGACAAACCCATAGTCCTGCTTTAGCACACAGAAGCCAGTGGGACAGGGTCAACAAAATAGGAAAACGACTGTACAAACTATGAACGGCAACAGAGAATCCCGACTCGTGGTTTTCCGGCGAAACAATTAACTTACCACACAGTCGGTCAGCGTGCCCCATTGTTCAAAATGCTTCTGCATGCTTTCCTCGGTGGTCTCGAAACTGAGGCCACCGATGAACAGCTTGCGCTGCTGCTCATCTGGAGAGTAGTGCTGTAAAGTAAACAAAAATCAAAACGTTATAAAGTAATCAATGACACATTTTTAATGTACTGCATAACGTAACGTATTTCCAGTAAAAGAGTACCTTCAAACCATCGTTTGCACATTTCCCCCAATGGATTCAGGATATCACCAAGTGCTCCTGATGGGAAACTGGGGTGATTGTACATTTTCCATCCTGTGTGCGTGGGCGGTGGTGACGTCACCGCGTACATCTGCGTGATGACGTCGACCGCATAACCCACCCCCCCACGGCGTTTTGCCAGGTTCGTGCATGCCGACGTCACGCCTTCGCCGTGTATCCCACGCACATGCGCGATCAGCAGTGCTATTACCGTACTAATGGCCGGCTAACCCGTCGCGCCTTTTGACTCGATGGCATTCGTCGGGGGTTGGAGGGTCAAGAGTACGGGTGGCCGACACGCGGATGGTGGCGCGCGGTCGGGGGGGGCAGTAAGGTAGGGGGTCCGAGGGGAAGCGTGGGTTGGGAGTTAGTCGGGCGGGGGGGTTCAGTAAGTTTGGGGGGTACCAGGGGAAGCGTGGGGGGGGGGGCGAGGAGGGTGGCAAGTCTTTCAAGGACGGGACCCATTCACACCATACTTCTGTATGTGATATAAGTTTTGCTGGCTGGCTGGCCTGAGGGACGGTCACGTCCAAAGGACGTGCAGGTTTGCTCGTGGATATATAAAAAGGGCACTGTTACGCAACAGGCCGTGATTTTCCAGCAGGTGGCAACTGTAGAGTCCTGTATTGCGTGAACACGTGGCACTTTGTAAGCTTACTTCTCAAATTCTGTGACAAAACATAGTAAATGTATTGGCATGTAATTACCATACTTTAACATCATAACGTGCATTCGCAATTCACCCTATTTAATCAAACCATAAGAAACCTAAAAAGGGGTGAAGCCGCTAATATTATGAAGGTTAAAAATCAACAGTAGCAGCAACTTACCCAATCATTAAATGTCAAGTATATTAAACAATTATATTGCACGGTGTGATAAAAGGGGGTTTACTGGGTTTCCAGTTCAGTTTAAACTTTAAAAAATATAACCATCACACGGAATGTAACACATCTACTGCCATGATACTAAAGCTCTAATCAAACGTTGACCAGCATGGCACGATAAGTGTCTAGGTAATTAGTTTGAAAAAGCAATTGCGAGCAAAATAAGTAAAATTCGTTGCACGTGGCTCATGCAACATATCGAGAGTAAGACTAGATCGCAGTACGCACTGTTGTGGATACACAATGGCCATGTAATAATTCGATTACAAGTAAGTGTCCTTTGACAATATTGGTTCTATAAACACACCTCAGGTTTGACATTAAAACTTGCACACGCTGGGTCATTTGAGCGCTACAGATCGGCTCGTATATCCACTGCTGCTGGGCACAACAGCATACAAAGAGCAATCAGACCTGTCTGTCCACGTGCTTAACGATACAAAGCTAACCGCCTAGTTATGATTATGAACGGCACAAGACGTAATGTGACAATGTCTCACCACCAGCATCTGAAGATGTGCAGAGAACGCGTTCGAGAGGAGCAATGTACAGCCCTTCATAAATCTACTTCTCAACTATGTAAGGGCGTTAAGACTTCACCACGCTGCTCAGTGAGGGTTTCTAAAGGCGCAGCGGAGTATTTACGTAGAGGGCAATGGATCTACAAAATGTTTACCAGATAATTACCACTGATATTTATAGCTCTTTTTTAAGAGCGACCTCGCCACAAACGATAGCTCAACGAAGTGCCTTATTATTAAGACACGTATATAGCAAGCAAATACTCTAAAACGCATGTCTCTAAAAGTGGAGGTCCCGGGGAAAAATCCACGCGATCACGGGGAGCCCACGAAGGATCGGGATCGAACCCACGACCTCCTGTATACCGGGCGAGTTAACATCTCGCCACAATGGGCCCCATTGATGCACGGTCCTCTATTTGAACAAAGGTTTCAGGCGTATAAAGAGTGAAGCAGTCACACACCAATAAAGCCACACGTGTACTGGACGGTGCACAACACTTAAAAATGCACACATCCCCGACTGCATGCACCGTATCGCATATAGCAGTGCACCGATAACCACAGCCATAGTGAACATTACACATTCGGACAATAAGCCGCACCCGCCATCAGCCATGCGGCCACCACCATGGCAATAATCGCCAATGCCCCATCACTCTTTCTCTCTTGTGCCCTCACCCACCGTATACTTCCTCACACAATTCCGATACCATCACCGTACTCATCGACGCTCTCTCAGCATTGTTACTCTCGACGGTGTGCGACCGAGGTCCATCCAGGACAGACCGTGCCACGTGTAACAACGCAATGTCCGACCCACACACACAACGAAGGGGACGTCCATAGCGACACTACCACCCCCACCACCCGCTTGCTCCGAACGCGGTCGTCTGGCCGTTGCTCCGCATCCACAACAGCCGTACGAAAGAAAGAAGAGAGTTTATTCCCCCCTATTCACGGTCACAATCCAACCCTCACCCACTCCCCTCACCACCCCCAATGCCCTTGCCTTGACGATGCACGCAACGCCGGCCGCCATTTTACAATTCGCGGTCAGGGTTAACTTTGTAAAAAGATAACAAAAAACACACAAACGCCACAAACACAACCAGACAGCGAGGAGGATTTAAAAACACATCTCCGCTGAATAAAACAACTAATATTAAGCGAGTGAGTGAGGGTGGTGGTGGTAGAAGCGATCTTACGTCTCCGGGCATGTTTCCCGCCGGGGCGATGTCTTCCAAACAGCAACGACGAAATGGGCGACGAGGAGAAGCGCGCGCGCGTTTTTATGAATTCCGGAAGACGACTTCCTCTTCCGGAAGATTTTGTCTTCGTCTTCCGGAAGACGGCGTTCGTTTTTGGCAAAACACGTGCGCCAAAGTCACGTAGATGAAAAAACGAAATAAAATAAATTAAAATGAAAACTACATTAAAACAAATCACGACGTTTCGAAGGCAACACAAACCTCCGTCATTTAATTTAGTTGTTTTAATTTTAATTTATTTAGTTTTTTTTTTACCTAAGTAACTTTACCGTGGGATGCGTTCTACCAGCCTTCTTGTATGATTAGTGCTGTACTTGATACAGTAATTTAGCTGTGACGGTTCCACCTGAAGACGGAAGCTTGTGTTGCCTCCGCAACGTCGTGATTATATTTATTTATTTTTACCTACGTGACTTTACCGAAAAAAACACAGAGTATGAATGAATCCTTGCAGTCACGAAAACTTAAAATCTACAATGATTGGTGCTGGTTCTACAGTGTTGACGGTTTCGAAACTTGACCATGTAAAGTAGACAATCGCTTACGGATTGTTTTGTTGTCTTGCCGTAACCAGGTTTCAATTGTGTAACCAGGTTGCCGATCGAAAAACGATAATTTATTGCCCAATGTGGTTTTATTTCTGTTCCAAAATAAACCAAACCAAAATGAAGATAGTCTTCCTCTTCCAGAAGATGCCACGCCAATAACAAACAAAATCGGATTTAATCTTCTAGAAGAGGTAGATATCTTCCGGAAGATCAGCCGTTAACGTCTTCCAGAAGGAGCGTGAACTCGCAAATACGCGCGCGCGCGTCTTCCGGAAGATGACCCGGCCACGCGGGGTCACGCGTGCTTACCGTATTTACTTGGGATGGTCAGAATCAGAATTTAGATTTAAAGCTTTCGTGACTGCAGGGATTCATCTTCTTGGTTCTTTCGGTAAAGTCACGTAGAAGGGAAATAATAAAGTAATATAAAATAAAACATAATAAAATTATATAATAATATAATAAATAAGCTAATATGATATAATAAAATAATAAAATAAAATTACATAATATATACTAAAATAGTATAATAATATTATATTATTATATTTCGATTTAAAGCTTTCGTAACTGCAGGGATTCACCTTCTTGGTTCTTTCGGTAAAGTCACGTAGAAGGGAAATAATAAAATAAAAATAAAACATAATACATTTAATTATGTTTTATAATACATTTAATTTTATTATGTATTTCTTTTTTATTTTATTATTTCCCTTCTACGTGACTTTACCGAAAAACAGAATCAGAAAGTTGTATTCTCTTTGGTTCTTTCGGTAAAGTCACGTAGATTAAAAATAAAATAAATACTACAGTAATTTTGCTGTGGCTGTTCCACCTGATGACGGAAGCTTGTGTTGCCTCCGAAACGTCGTGATTTAATTTAGTTATTTTCATTTTTTTCATCTACGTGACTTACCGAAAGAACCAAAGAGTATATGGATACTTGCAGTCACGAAAACTTCAAATCCAGAATGTTGTAATTATTTATTCTGGAGGAATCTGGTGCCCCTTCCTATACAGCAAGTTGTTTTTAAGTTTTCACAGATTTCCATTAGGGCCGGTTGAGAACATTACAACAACAAACGATACGAAAGGCTTGCAAAGTACTGTATAGGGAAGCAAAACTAAAATCACTTTATGTTCTTGATTCTTTCGGTAAAGTCATGTAGAAGGGAAAAAAATGTATTGTTATAGTTTTTTCCCTTCTACGTGACTTTACCGAAAGAATCAAGAAGATGAATCCCTGCAGTCACGAAAGCTTTAAATCGAAATTTAAAATCACTTTCAAAATATACAAAACGAAACAATTTTTCAAAACATTGCACACCTTATCGGTTCATAATAACTTACTTATTTGCCCAGGAGAGCCATTATGCTGAGTTGTATGACTTTTTTATGAGGGTGATGTATTGGGTTTTTTTTAAAAGACGTTTTCAGCCAATTAATGATTGTTGTTTCATGAAACTGAAACAAGTGGGAGGAAACCAGATAAAACCCACGCGTGCGATGGGGCAACACTCGATCCCCGTACAGATGGACACAGATGGGAGTCCACGGGATTGGAATTTCACGACAATTTGTGTGGTGGATTGCAGGCGACGTGAATAGCCACCACCGATCGCCTTGTTATTTCAAACCAAAGTTGGGATCTCATGAGAGGTCTGACCTAATAACTTCATAATGTAATCTACAGCGAAACGTCCTCTATACAAAAAAAATGCAATATTTTGCTTGCATATCAACGTTCCGGTTTGGCCAAAAAAACAAATACATTTTCATAGTTTGCCGACGTGACATCTTGATTTGATCGCCTTTGTCGGGTGGTGGAGGGTAATAGTTAAATATTGACATACGTATCTACAAGACGGTCTTACTCAAATGTTATAACATTATGAGTTCAATTATGAATAATACTGCAATTTATTCCGGTAGGTGTTACTATATATACGTGTATGGGGGTGGGGATCAGTACTAGCAATGTCAAAATCGACCTCTGTGGAGGAAGTTCATGAAGGACGCTGTTGGTGAGTTGGAGGCAGTCACCCTCTAACGCTCACAACAACGAGCGGAGCGCCGGGCGGCTAAAACGCAGAGTTGGAACAGTAGGGAGCACAACTGGTGGCATCTGCCAGTCATTCCAGTCAATGAATCCATGTTTTTTGTAACGTTTTTACCCGCTCCTGGTGAAAAAGTAAAGCTTCATAGCTCATCGGATTCATCCAGTATGAATTAATATTCTGATCTCGCACCTGGGTCTGTCCCGTACCAGCAACGGGGCTTTCGACACTCCACGTGTCCTCAAAGCAAGGCCGTAGCCATGTATTTCATACGCTCTGGATTTTTCAGTCAAGTATGAATCTTTGCAGTCACGAAAACTTCTAATCTAGAATCCGTAGCCATGGAGTCAACATTGGGGGGGGGGGGACCAAATCTTCCAGAAAAAAAAGATCTAAATTTGAAAACGAATTTCCTGCCTAAAATATGAAAAAATTCACGAACACATTGGGTGGACTTTTTATTGTATTATTTACAATAATGTCTACCAGTGTATTGTATTACATTGCTCTGTTTCATTGAATGTAAAGGCAGAGATTATGGATTAATAAAGTACAACCATAACCACAATCATATAAACAGAAATCTATTGTATAGCAATATATTTGGGGGGATATTTTGAGCATATTTGAATATTGGGGGGGAATGTGTCCCCCAATATTTATTATAATTACGTGACAAGCACCTAGTCGGGCACACGGATCAACGCCACTTTTTTAAATCCTTTATATTAAGTTCACTTTCTTGCTTGCTTACGACCGTGCAAATCTTTCGGTCGTTTTTTAACCCACTTCCCGTGATCCAATCGAGCTGACATTTTGCACACAGACTCGTTGTGCGAGACAATTAATGTTCGTGAAAAAAATTTCCATAACTTAAACACTTTTTAGGAATTTTTTTTATATTTAATCACCAATTGCTTAATGGTGGCAGGCAATCATCTGACCCATAGGTGGCAGCCATCTCAAGCCAGAGGACGAGAGGACTCTAGCCGCCACGCATATAAAGGATTTATAGTGAAAAACTTTGTTTTTACGGGTTAATTTTTTCGGGGCTAGTGTCGAGTTTTGGTGGTGGAGGGGGGGGGGCATCGATGGGTGCGAAATCGTCCTTTCTAATCGAGACAATACGGTAAAGACGGAGGAGGAGTGTTGAACAGAACGCGGTATTGTCCACGCCGCCCATCCCCCGCCGCCTCTTCTTCTTCCGTCTTCCGAAATAATCTTGGAAGCGTCGGTGCCCCACGGACGAGGCTCTCTCTCTATATCTACGTGTGAAGTGAGTGCAGCTTGGTTTATTTAACACGTAGGCTTTCGCGGCTAATTCTAGGTAGTTTTTTGGGGGGTTAGATTTGCGCATTTACGCGAAATACGCGATCAAAATCGACCTCTGTATATTATGGGTGAGTGAAGCTTATAACAAGAACCTCTCTCCATTACTATTTTTTCTTCTTCTACATCTCAGCCGCATATTTTTTTCACAATACCTCATATTTGTGTTTTGTTCCCCCCCCTCCCCGATGTGTTAAGTATATATTTTTAAGGGAAAGTAGACGTTCATTATCCCTTTAGAGAGGTTTGGAGGTTTTTATTTTTTAGATTACGAACGACGCCACACGCACCACGACACGACCGGCCGCTCGGTATTTAGTGTTCGCGTTGCTAACAAACGAGGCACATCTAATTCACACTGTTGTCGCAATTATACTAAACGTCGTGGAAAATACTACTTGTGATTATAATAATAGCGGCACGGCCCTCTGATGTGTTGTTTTTAAACTAAAGAAGAACCCCCAGACTCTAGGCGCAGGCCTTGCTAGGCCTCGTGGGTTATTATTTTGCCAAATGTCACGAAACGCGTCCAAAGTGAACGGTGTTTAAAGTCTCTCACACCGACCGCTGCTTTACCATTTAATCGTTTGCGATTAAGGTGAAGGGGGGACACAAATGCTTTTGTTATCGTACCATTACGTCAAAAGGCTTTAACATAACTGTTGTTAACTTTGAAGCGAATGTTTGTGATGGTTAGCACGCTTTGTTCGATTGTGCCCCCCCTAGGCCATCTTCAATGGGCCCTAAAATAAAGTTTCATTTTAACAGTGGCACCCCTATGAATAATCAACAAGACCTTGACCTTTTAAGAAATTAGACCGACATACATATGTTGTACAGTATGCTGAACTTCTTTCACACCATATCCGAAGTGCGAACACCAAGTGATTGTAAAATGTGCACATTGTATTGTATTGTACCCATCCCCCCATTTTAATCTTATGTTCTTTGGCATCCCGTAATAGAATATTGGCTTTTCCTACCACGCCTCGACTGACTTCCTTCCTCATGGACTGAGTCCACAGTATTCGGTCACTCAGCATCAGGAAGTTGCTACCGCAGCCAGTTACATTATTCGTGATATCTGCTAAGTTAGTAGTCGCCTTGATCGCTTCCATGAACAAGAGACAGGCCAC